TCAACCAATGGAGGCCAAGACAAGGACACAAGGAAAGGACATACAAACATACAACATATTGACACAAGGAGCTCTTTAGTTACCATTTATCAGGCATGGGATATCTCATACAACTGCAGTTTCACTCATAGGCCAAAGTAACAAACACAAGCAGAGAAAAGAAAAAAAATCTCAAAGTTAAAAACAAAAAGTTAAAAGGAAATACCAAAATCAAGATTGAACGTCTTTCTGTGCAAGAAAAAAAAAAAAAATACTGGCAGCATATGCATGATCCTAGATGCTATATCACGTCTCCTAAACTTTGAAAGGAAGAAGATTGGTTAGAGCATGTTATTTTCCTCAGGGTTTCTTCAGAAAAAGTGAGTCCTTGGGTATCCTGAAAGAATAACTGGAAAAGAAGTCAGTAATATTCAAGTTTTTGTCTGTTTCTTAAACAAATATCTCAATTCCCCAATGGGTTCACAAGACCAATGGGACTTCGTCTCTGGGTCAGTTCCTTCTGGGCTTTTTAATCTAGTGGAGCCCCTGGGCCCCCTATTCTTCATCTGAACCTTCTCCATGAACTATCATTTGTCTCCTTTCCTCTGCACTTGGCTCTAGATTCCTTCTACTCTGTCTATATTCCCTCCTATCTTCACCTGAGGCTCTACCCTGTGCTGTCATTGGTCTCCTTTCCTCTGTAATGGGCTCTAGATTCCTTCTCTGTCCGTATTCCCTATCATCATCTGAGCCTCTACTCTGTGCTAACATTTGTCTTCTTTCCTCTCTCCTTGGTTCCTGGTTCTGTGTACTCCTTCTATATTCCCTCCTGTAACCCCTGCGTGAATCATCATATCGTGGTGTTCCCAGTCTTCTATCCTGCCTTCTGTAATTACTGCATCTGCCGCTTCCCTGTAATCTGGGACAACTGTACTTCCAATGTCCCTCTTCCCTACAGAAAGCACACTGATTTCTTCCTAGGGGTTCACGTCTCTGTCCATTACTGTTACCTTGAAACCCTGTTCTGTGCTCTCTTTGTACGACAACAGTCGCAGGTTTCGGTCTCCTGTCCTCTCTATTATTATAAACCCTAAATGCCAAGTCCACTACCTGGGACAGACTCATCTCTGTGATGCCGCCCACCTTAGCTAACTTTTTCTTTATGTCTGGGGCACTATGGGTAATGAACGCCATAGTGATCAGACGAGAATTTTCCGGGGCATCTGGGTTTATAGCCATATGGTTAGTGTACGTTTGAATAATTCTCTCAAGGAACTCTGACAGATCTTTATTAGTTCCTTGTTCGAGTTGTAATATTTTGTTAAAGTTTTTTTGTTTGGAGATTCCCTGCTGCAGTCTACCAATAAACATTTTTTATAGAGATCCAACATCGCCGTTCCTCCACTGTTAGGGTCCCATCTAGGATCTTCCTCTGGGACAACAACCTCTGGCTCTGGGGACTGCCTATCCTGTTGGTGGAGACAGTCAGCCTCCTCCCTGGCTTTCCTGAATACCATTCTCTGCTCATCCAGAGTTAATAAAGTGTGCAGCATGGACTTTATATCTGCCCAGTTAGGGCGGTGGGAGACGAAGATAGAGGCAAACAAGTTTGCCATCCTCTTAGGAGCCTGCTGGTACGAGGGAACAGAGCTCCTCCAATTTAGGAGGTCCGCAGTACTGAAAGGATGGTGCGACCAAAAATACCCAGCAGGCCGCCCATGTTCATTCAAGCCACCCATTGGTATCTGGCGAAGGGGAAACTGTCCTGCCTCAGGGTGATCCTTCCTGCCAAAATGGGTGCTGTGTCTAGTGTGGGGAGGAGACGCCGTTTTAGTTTCCTCCCCAGAGGGCAGTGGAGGCTGTGAAACCTCAGGAGTCTGCACAGGAGAGGCCTTGTTACATGGAAGAGGATTTTGTCCTGATGTATTTAAAGTATTTAAAATATGATGCTCCTCCTCTCTAACTCTGCCCGCTGGCAGTCCTCATGGGAACGGGAGGTTTATCCTTTCTCTATGCCATTAGCCGAGCCTCCACCATATCCAATTTATGGAGGGTGACCTCTATCCTGTCCTGCATACTTTTAAAACTTGATCTTGTATGCTTTTATAAACTGACTCAAAGATGTTACGGTTCTCATCCCTCATACACTTAATAGTTAAATCAAAGGGCTGATTTTATTGTTGCATGACCAGGTTAAGAGACTGAATTTGTCGTTCCATGGCTAAGTTAAGAGCCTGAATGTGTTGTTGCACATTCTCAGTATGTGAAGTAGAACATCTACCTCTCATAGAAACAAGAATGTAGCAAATGGCGCTTACACATATTACCAAAAAAACTCCCAGAAGCACAGACTGTAAAGGGATGGCTTGTAAACCACCCATGTATGTATACAATAGTAAAATCACATGCCATACACCAGGCTTCATCAAATTATTTACATTAATGAAACTGGTGGTGATATTTAATGGAAGAAGGCTACTCAAATTCAAGGCCGGAAGGAAACTGAAAGAACTCAGGCTAGGGATGAAACTGTATAAGCTCATGGTTGAGGCCATATTTGAGTCAAAAACACACCCACAGGGCTGTACGCACAAGGAAAAAAAAACAGACTTTTCAGGACTTGAGACAAATATTACACTGCGAGTCCTGCAGAACTAGTGCGCTTATGGTGACCAACGCGAGGAATGTTACTTTGGGCTGGTCAACCACGGGTGTAACTTGGAAAGCATGCTGGGCGCCAAACTGTTATAGGGCAGCCCCGACACAAAACGGTGTGCCTAACTGTGGGTCCTCACCCTCGTGCTTAAAAGGACTTATCAGCACTCTACTGCAGGCACACACGAAAAGTTAATAAAAGGTTTATTTACAAGGGAAGGGCAAATGAGGAAATGTACAGCTCAGGGAGAAAAGTGGGAGACAAAGTTTTAAATGCGTCCTACCCGATCCGCTGATCTGGAATTCCAAACGGCACTCTGAGAGCTGGCCGCAAGCCAGGAGCCGTGAAGCCAGGAGGTGAGCAACAGAGCAAGAGAGCCCAAGGTCCATGTGTTTGGTTTTTATACCCAACCTGGCTGCTTGACTCCACCCTCAGGTCCCAGACACCTGGTGGCTGGTGGTGACGGGATTTGTCTTTCCCAATGTCCTGATGGCTTTGGTCTGGAGTGGGGGTGGGGTCCACAAAGCCTGTATGGGATTAGCTCAGGACATCCTTTCCCCCTAACAGTTATTTCTGATCCTTCTGTGGGTCCCCACTGGAAGATGCTTATGACTTGTGGCAGGCTGTGGGGCCTTGCTCTGGGTCAATCCTGCTTGGGTGGACTTTTAACCATGAGGGTAACACTGGGTGCTTGATTTAGAAACTATATTCTTTACCTTTTCTGTATTGCTTCCTAACTGTATTAAAAGTTCCTTCCCATTAAAGTCTCATATGTCTTGTGTTGATGCAGCAGATGGTAGAACCCATTCAGAATAAGCAGGTTTGTGGGGTCTGGGCTGCCCCTCTCCCTGCCCTGTAACAATATGGTTATATGTTAGTCTCAACTTTATAGGTTAGTTAGAAAAAATCCCTTTGTCTCCCTTCCCCACGTAACTTCCTGTCCTTTGTTTCCCCTAGCCCTTAGTTAATCAATCCTTCACCATGGTAAACATAGAAATGGTAGTTTCAGTCACATAAGTTTTTGCTAGTAATAAGATGATTGTTTAAGATAAATGACTATTCTAAGAACACTTTTGTTTAGCAACTGTGCCTTCTTCAAAATAAAGAATGTTACAACTTCTGCTGAAGGGCAAATAAACCCCTGGCTGTTCTAGAGGAAGATGTGATGATTGTTATCTTCCTGCTCTAGTACATATGCTTATGTACTCTGGGTTTGCTTGTAAGGTATAAATAAAGGGCTGCTGAGACCCTCAGCAGGATGATGTCTGCACCCTGATCAAGTGTTTGCATCTCCTCACTCCCTCTCCCCCTAACCCCTCAGATTTGTCCATGCCCTCTCATCCTTACAGGAACCCCTCGCAGGACAGTTTGCTGAGGCTGGTCCCTGGCATTATTACTTCTTTACTTTAGAATATTAATAACCAATGTATGCTAACAAAGCATTTTTAAGAAAATAACTTTCTGTAAATGTAAGGATAATTGTACAATTTTATGATTTTTTTGAAAAAAAGTAATCTATTGTTTCACTACTGAAAGGTCCATGCAGGAGGCCTGAATGCAAAAACCCACCAGGAAGCCCACCTGGGAACAGGAATGCAGAAGCCTGCCTAGAGGATTCAGACAATGAACCTCCCCACCCCTACAAATCTTTTTGTGCCCTACAAACCCAGTCCCCCATATGACTTCCTTACGCTGAAAAAGCCTGCTTCCCCCTGACAATGTGTGCGGCTTCACAGACCCCCACCTTGGGTCTCTGAGGCCCACCCATGGCGCAATAAATTTTCCCTTCCTTTGAGAAATTTAGCCTGGCTCTCCTTTTCTTTACCGCTCCGAACTTTTCATCTGGTGCATTGGCCGGGAATGGGGTTCGATACTGCGTGGGGACCCTGCCCCGTCCCAAACCCTCCACTCTCCCTCTCGTTCACTCCCTCTTTCTACCTCTCCCCGTGGAACTGGAAGCCAGGAACCCCTACGAGCTCACTAAGGCTTAAAGGCCACAGGTTTGTGACCCGGGGCACCCTCCCTGCGGGAGAACGGGCCCTCGCTGCCTCTCATGCCACGTGAGCAGAGCAGGGACTTGCTCTAGTCCCTTACTGGGCTTCCCTGGTAACTCCAATCCATGTAGCCTCTTCCACCTTAATTTCTTCTCATCTCCCTTGAGAGGCCATCCTCCTCTTCCTCCTGTAGGCCCACCTTCTCTTCCTATGGCACTTTGCCAAATAATTGCAAAGAACAAAAAGACTCGGCCGGCCTGTGGACCACCAGCACTTGGCTCTTGACTCTCCCAGGATGAGCTGTTGCCTCTAGGGTCCCTTGGATTGTTACAGGGCAGCCCTGATACAAAACGGGGTGCCTGACTGTGGGTCCTCACCCGCACGCTTAAAAGGACTTATCAATACTCTACTGCAGGCACACGCGAAAGGTTAATAAAAGGTTTATTTACAAGGGAAGGGGAAATGAGGAAATGTACAGCTCACGGAGAAAAGTGGGAGACAAAGTTTTAAATGCGTCCTACCCGATTCGCCGATCTGGAATCCCAAACAGCACTCTGAGAGCTGGCCGCAAGCCAGGAGCCGTGAAGCCAGGAGGCGAGCCAGAGAGTGAGCCCCCCAAGGCCCACATGTTTGGTTTTTATACCAAATCTGGCTGCTTAACTCCACCCTCAGGTCCCAGCAACCTTCCCTTTGGTGGTGAAGGGATTTGTCTTTCCCAATGTCCTGATGGCTTTGGTCTGGAGTGGGGGTGGAGTCCACAAAGCCTGTATGGAATTAGCTCAGGACTTCCTTTCCCCCAAACAGGATCACGGAGGTCTCTTCTTTTTATTTAGCAATCGTTACCCCCTCCTGATCCGCGCTTTCCATTTGGGGCTCCCTCTGAGGTGAGATGTCTCCTTGGGTGGAAAGACCACTTCTATTTCTTGGAGGTAAAGAGGACTACAGGACGCCACCTTCCCCTTTCACTCTCCCGTTCAATTCCCCAGGGTGTGGTCATCAAGGGGCTGCAGAGAGAGGCTGTGGGGAGAGAAGATGGCGCCTCAGACACGGGACAGCTCCAGAGCCTCCTCTCCTCTCCCCCACTCCCCCCACCCCAGTCTGGTGCCAGGGCTGCTCACAGGGCAGCTCACCCAATCCCCCAAGGGATGCTCAGCCCAAGCTCACCCTCTCAGCCTGAGTCACACACACCCAGCCTCTCCCCTGGCTGCCAGACTAGGACAGCGCCGCAGCGCCCCCGTATGGCCACAGGGCTGAGGACAAGGGGCGAGAACCCTTAGGTCTCCCCAGGTTCTCCTGGAGCTCCCAGAATGACAGGGCTGTGCACAGGGGGGGAGCCCCATACAGCTTCAGGTTCTCTGTCTGACCTGTTTACTAATACACACTGACATGATGAAGGTCTCCTGTCTCACCCGCTGCTTCCCTCAGCAGTGTATTTCATCAGTTCATCTATTCTGTTCCCCGCTCTGTCTCTGGTGAATCCTCTCACACGCACATCTGGCCTGTGCCCCCGTTCTTGTATGCATGAGTAAATAAATCTTTAAAAAAAATAGGGTCTAAGAAGTACAGATCATGACCTGAGCTGTAGTGTCATCACTGGTCCATACAAGGTGTTTAGCCTTAATAAGATCCTTAACAGATCACTGGAGGAGGGGGAGGTTAAGGCAATGCACCAAAAACGCTTTCTTGAGGGACACACTGGAGAGTGATATCTGATACTTAATAAAGGCCCAGCTAAACCTGGATTCCAGTGTCTAGGACAGCCGTACTAATTAAATGCAAGGGCCCAGTTCCAGGTTGAGTTTGTGTCCTGTGATGAGTCCCTGTCTCATTCACCCCCAGGTGCTCTCCAGTATATCACCCTCTTTTCTCTCTGTTTTATGACTTACTATTCTCCAACATTTTCTAGTTGTTCCACCATTCACTAGTGTATTGTCCATGTTTTCACTGTCATTTGAGATCCTTGAAGGCAGGAGAATTCTTCTCCCATGAACACATCTCCTCAAATGTAGTGCATGGCTAGAAATATCTGTTAAAGTAATGAAGAAATGTACTGGCCCCTCTCTCATTACCTCTCGGTTTACATCCTATTCCACTATCAGTTCTCCCCTGTATCTCTTTTGATGTTTCTATCTCTGTCCCTTCCCCAGACCTCATCTCTTCCCTTAGGCTCCTGACCCAGACTAACAACTACTCCTAGATGATCCTGGAGGGGAGGGTTTTAGACCCTTCCTTCCATCTGGAGGACATTAGGTTGAAACAATCTAACCTCAAAAGGAATCTCTGAGGGCCTCCCCAGTGGCCCAGTGGTTGAGCGCTGGGTTGAGAAGCTGCCTGCAGCCTCTGCAGCACCGGTTCGATCCCTGGCTGCTCCCAGGCCACCAGAGGAGGGTCCCACATGGCGCGCAGACCTCTCCTGCCGCCCACTGCTCCCCTCAGCAGTGTACTTTGGTCCTTCTGCCTGCTCTGCTTCCCACTCTGGCTCTGGTGAATTCTCTCACCCTCCCGCGCTTCTTACTGTACCCAGTGCTTGTATAAATAAATAAATAAATCTTAAAAAAAAAAAAAAGGAATCACTGAGAATAGTAAACCTTTCACAGGCTAATATTGCTAAATACACAGCTCATGCATTAATATGCCCATTGTTGCTCCTTCTCATCAAAAATGGACTTCTGACCAGGGAATGAGGATGAGGTAGGAGGAGAAAACTCCTTCCTGCCACATTATCCAACAAGCATTACTGGTGATACGTTGGAACCCAAAGTGAAAGCCTTCCCAGAAACTGAAGGAGGAGGAAAGTAAGATTACCTTCAGACAGGTGTACAGGAAACGCACCAGTACTGGAAGCAGAGGAGGAAGGTAAATCTCAGGTGGAGGCATTACCATGTCTAAGCGAATAATTTATCCCTGATGAAGGGCTGATCAAAACTGGAATTAGATTAAATATTTATTTAGCCTCATTACTTCCAAACACCTTACTAAAAGATTTCCTTGTATTATCTCTTGTAATCCTCCAAAAAGCCCTTTCCTTTGCTACCATTGGTCACTTACTGATCTTATCATCAGAGCTAGATTACAAGACCATGGGAACAGGAACCATGTCTTTTGTTTCTCTTAATTCTTTCGCTTGATATTTTATCCAAACATCACAGCACAAAACACAATACTGGGAGGAACAACCAATACTGGTTAATTAATTAGTTCCTCTAGTCAGCGATTTTCCTCCCCTTTGAAAATACTCTCCTCCTTTAGCTTTTTTCTCTTTAACAGTTACATGCATAGCTTACTCCTTGCCCTTAACTTTGGGGTTTTCCTTCCCTCTGTGAGAAATGCCTCTTCCATCTTTCTTTGGCAGACATCACCTATTTGAAAACAATATAACTTGGTGGCTGGGTGGGTGGACTTGTAAGAACAAGATCACAAAATAGCCATTCTGACACTGGGCACATTAACACTTTGTGTCAGTTTCCCTTCAGTGAAATGGTACTAAAAATAAATAATTCTAGAATTATTGTAAGAGTTGTTGTAAAGAGTTGAAATATAAAGAGTTGATTATCATAGAGTTAAAACGTAATTAAAGACAAAGCATAATATCTCAAATGCAAAGTCAAACCAAAGAGAATATTTGGAGGAGAAGAAAATAAGTTCTCACCAAATGATAGCTGGTAGGGTATTTGGATTGTAGGCAAAAGAAATTGCATTTGACTGGTTTAAACCCCCAAGCCCACACCAAATGGAATTTACTAGCATTCTAACTGGCTCAGAGGTAACCAGTCAACATTGGGAAGGATGGACATACAGGGGTCTCAAGTGTTGAAATTCATTTAAGATATCCTGGGGGATGCACTGGGATGATTTTGATCCAACTGTCTTCCATTCTGAGCTTGGTCTAGAAAATCTGGGTTATGTCTTTTCTTTGAAGGAGGAGGAGTGGAAAAGTACATGGTTAACAGTCACCAAAGATCATATAGAATGGGGCAGGGGTTGAAATCTCTATTGCTATGGAAATAAATTACCACACAGCCAGTGGCTTAAAATAACACATATCTGTTATTTCATTGTTCTGGAGATCAGAAGTTCAAAACCAATTTCAGTGGACCAAAATCTAGACCTTGGTAGTGCAGTGTCCCTGCCATGTGCTCTGAGAATCTTATAGAACATATGATAATCACAGCAGGATTATTCCATCATCTTTGTCATATAAAGTAACCTGATCCATGGGACAATAACTCACCTTAAGCACAAGTCCTGCCCATATGCAAAGGAAGAGGATTATACCCACCCTTTGTGGGTCTAAAAATGTACCCTTTAGTAAGTAGAATAGGTATAGACTGTGACACAGATTGTAGTACAACCTAGGAGGTGTAGGCACAAAGGTGTGATTGTGAATTTAAGAGCAATTATGTGTAAAAGTGTCCAAGGAAGGAGAGAAAATGGGGTTCAGAAAGGAGGTGATTTCTGAGCTGAGTTTTAATAGACAAGAATTCATCTCTAATGAGTGCTACACATGTAAACCTAAGAGAAGCCAAATTCAGATTTCTGAGTAAAAGACTCACGCTTTACTCTACACCACAGATGAATTCCCAAAAGAGCCAGAAATTAAATCCAGGAAGAAATAATCATTTAATCATTCAGTCAGGCCACCTTGCCTTGCTTTGTGATTTAAAAGGGCTTAGAGAATACATCTGGATCCCATTTCGAAAGCCTATTGAATCTTGAAATTCTTGTTATCTTAGGATTACTAGTGATTTTCAGGATCTTCTTGCTAAAAAAATGCCATAAAAGAGCTGGCATATGTGGTGTTGCTGGGAGGAAAAGTAGTCATAATATTGTCTAGATGGCACAGTAGTTGAATTCAATGATCAGCCAGTTGCCTTGGGCTTACTAATTTCTTTTTAATCTTACATTGCAATGAAGAATTGCAGGGTGGTGTGAAATGGGAGAAGGAAAAAGGGGGAGAAGACAATTAAGTCAAACACAAAATAGAAAGGGAGCAAGTAAAAGCAGCGTATGAAGTTCCAGCTGGCTAGCAGCGATTCATCACTGCTCCATTTGCTATTAGAATTGTGGAGGAATGGAGGGTAAAGGAATGTCCCCAGACATTCCTGTTTCAATGGTTCTAGGGTTGGTTGAATCTAGTGTTCACCTAGTCTGAACACTTTTCCGTATTCAAAGGGTTTTTTTCGTGTAAAGGCTGCAATAGACACGGTGCAGGTTCTCTGATCCCATGCAGACCGGGTAAAGGAGGAGTCAGAGTCCTCAGTGGTTTTTTGCAGGTCTTTTATTGGGGTTCACCAGGCATATGGCTGGCAGGGGTGCTGGCTGGGGGGCTGGGAGGCTGGCAGACCTCCCAGCCCCCAGCAAGTATTCACTCTATCTGGGCTCTCTGGCGTTCGTTCTGCTGCTTCTCGGCTTCTCTTTCGGCTTCGGCTTCCGCTTCGGTTTCGGCTTCTGCTGCTGCTGCTGGCGTCCCCGTGACGCCGCCCTTAAAAACACAGTCTTAGCTCAGCTGAATCCCATCTACCTATGCCCACACCCTATTCCAGGTGCCCGCCATCAGGCATGCATTCAGGACAAGGATCCATCATCTATCCTGATGGCGGAAGGGCAGAAAAGCCTGATATTTTCTTTACCCTACATTTCGTATTTGTAATTTTTATCCAGCTAGTATATTAACAATTTTTTAAATCAGGTTTTGTAGAGGAATTCTCAAGTAGACATGAATTCTCGTGTCTCAAGTAGTGTACTAGACATATACTAAAAACACTATTCGTTTTTTATCTGACATTCTTTTTCGTTCTAGCATTCAACTAGCCTAGAGTTAATCAAGCAATGAAAAACAGCAGCCTGTCTTGTGGTCTCTCCTGACCGTTTTCAGTATTTTGGATATATTCTATGCTACTACAAATAATGTATTTATGTCACTCTTGCTTTGTGAGCTTATTTGAGAAATATTTCCTGACACCATGTAAGGTCAGGAATAGACACGGTGCAGGTTTTCTGATCCCATGCAGACCGGGTGAAGGAGAAGTCAGAGTCCTCAGTGGTTTTGCAGGTTTTTATTGATTACCAGGTACACAGCAGGCAGGGGTGCTGGGGGGCTGAGGGGCTGGGAGGCCTGCATCCCAGCCCCCAGCAGGTCTTCACTGTATGGGCTCTCCGGCCTTCTCTTGGCTTCTGCTTCTCTCTCACTTCTCTCTCGCTTCTCTCTCGGCTTCTGCTTCGGCTTCTTTCTCAGCTTCTCTTTTGGCTTCTGCTGGAGTCCCCATGATGCCACCCTTAAAAGCCCAGTCTCAGCCCAGGTGAATCCCATCTACCTATGCCCACACCCTATTCCAGGTGTCCGCCATCAGGCATGCATTCAGGACCGCAGGGATCCATCATCTATCCTAATGGCGGGAGGGCAGAAAAGCCTGATATTTTTCCTTACCCTACACACCAGTAGCTTTTTATCACTACTTGTACTTCCTCTCTTGATTAATTATGCAATGTTAAATGATATCCCCCTTTTATTTAGTGTTGGATTATCTGTACAACAGTACCTTTTGACTTTCTCTCTTGCCTTAAAAGGACTTAACAGGAATGTTGACAGGTGAAAATAGTTACACAAAATATTAATAGATGGCTCATAAAAAAAGGTGTTTCATGTATAAATGAGTTTAAGAAATTCTGAGTAAATAAGTAGAAGTTGTTTATAATGGAGCTAAGCAGAAGTTGTTTATATCAGAAGTTTGATGTGCAAATATGTGCTATAAAGCCTCAAAAGAGCATGTGATATGCAACATTTTCCAAACTTCTGATAATAGAAAGCTTTTCACAGCACATCCAGTGATATCTTAAGGAAATGCTTATAAAAAGGTCCAGGAGGCAATCTCCTATTTGCTGTGATAGAAGGAACACAAAGTTGCCTTTTAGTGAAACAGTAGTGATCTGCTAGGGCGTTGAGAACTGGGTACCTGCGGGTGCTATACCGAGTGCTAGCTGTGCTAACAGTACCTCAATTTCACAAAGAGAGAGGCTGAGTGTAGGGTAAGGTAAAAGGTATCAGGCTTTTCTGCCCTCCCGCCATCAGGATAGATGAGGGAGCCCTGTGATCCTGGGTGCATGCCTGATGGCGGGCACCTGAAGTGGGTACACCTGAGCTAAGAGACTGACTTATAAGGGTGGTGCAGCAGAGTGCGGGGTGGTGGTAGTGCGGTGTTGAGGGTGGAGGAGTGGAGTGTACGGAGGAGAGCGGCGACTACAAACAACGGTGAAGAGCATGTGGCTGCTAGAACCGTTCATAAACCTGCCCAGAATTTTGGTTGCTTTACACTGAGGTATAGAAATGGCAAATAGTTTGTACAGTGTCCCACCACATTAATTGGCAGTCATGATTCAAATAGAGGACTCAGGTTTAGAAATCCCCCAGGACACTCATCTGTCTCCCCCAATGACAGCTAAACTGCCTAAAAGGAAAGCAGTGCAAAAGGACTGTTTGAAGACCCAGGCACTTAAATTAGATTCTGTCATTTTCTGTAATCATCATGCTGACTTTTACCTCTGTAGAGCAACTGTAGGGTAAGGTAAAAAAATCAGGCTTTTCTGCCCTCCCGCCATCAGGATAGATGAGGGAACCCTGTGATCCTGAATGCATGCCTGATGGTGGGCACCTGAAGTGGGTACACCTGTGCTAAGACTGCCTTTAAGGGCGGTGTCACAGGGACACCAGTAGAAGCTGAAAGAGAAGCCCGAAGCAGAAGCAGAGAACGCCAGAGAGCCCAGATAGAGTGAAGATTTGCTGGGGGCTGGGAGGACTGCCAGCCTCCCAGCCCCCCAGCACTCCTGCCTGCCACGTACCTGCTGAACCCCAATAAAAGACCTGCAAAAAACTACTGAGGACTTGGACTCCTCCTTTACCCGGTCTGCATGGGATCAGAAAACCTGCT